CACTTTTAACTATTTTATAAGCATTTGGGGTATAACAGCCATACTACCCATCATTTTCAAAGCATCAGCCCTGATTCAGCCTCTTGCTGAACGGTAGATGCTAAATAAGAGGAAGATGTCTATGATGATGACTACAGAGACAGGTTTAGAAATGTCAAGATAACAAAAACTTTATATTTTACTAATATTATTGGGCAAACATAATCTTTGGAAATAAAAACAATAATTTTAACTACAAAACAAATGCACTACTTAATTCGAGTCCAACATAAGTATTTCTGATTATTTTGACTTTGATGCCTAACACACATGTGTTAAGAAATTTTTCTGTAGGGAAAGCTTACAATATAATTGGCTGAAACAAGAATATAAGCCATCAGCAAAAGAAACACTTCACATGTTTTAAAACATATAGTGAAATTCTCTCATGTTTTTACATGTTTTAAAACATGATTCTTTCTCAAACTCAAATTCCTTCATGTTTTCACATGTTTTAAAACATGTAGTGAAATTCTTTCATAGAAATCAAATTATTGTTAACTGTCTTATGCCAGTATTTGCAATATTATGTAAAGGTCTGAAAATGCAAATAAGAAACTAATGGCAGGTTTTATCAAAGACCACTTTATCTGAGACCTCAATTTCAAATATTCTGCCCTAAAATAGGAAATGTTATATTTGACAGAAACTCTGCTTAGTGACACAAAAACACAGGCCTAACATTCTTCCCCTTTGTTTTCACCGAATTTAAGCTTCTCCATGAGGTGAAAGCACATGACTGACCTAACAGATGACTTGGAGTTAGTTGCCTTAATGCCTTTGGAATTCTAGCCATTAATCTAAGCTTAGTACAAGTAAGCACACAATTTAATAACATATAATCCAATTGGACAATGAATATACTCAGTATCATTTGCCACAAATGATCATGAAAGATATTAATATTCATTAACAATTTTATGAGAAAATTAAGATGCTCCTAAAACTTTTTTCTCCTCAATTTAACCTCAATTCCTGGTCATTATCATCTAGATTTCTGATAACTTCTTTTATAAATGACATTCATAAGACTTGAAAGGAAAAAAAAACAGGAAGTTAGGAACTAATCCTTTTTCCTGAGATGTGATTTTCACATCAGCTGTGATGGTATGGCACACACACCAATGGTGATTCCTGACAAGTTTTCTTATGCTGCTAACATGTGCATTTCTGATCAGCCCAGTTCTTTAAAAGTTACTGTATAAAATTTAATTTCCATTAAAGAAGTCTTAGCAATAATTTCTGTAGTGGGTCAAGGAGCATTCCCCATGTATTTTAACATTCATTTCTGACCTATGCTTTGCTGGATGATGGCATTTTAACCACTCCGTGATGTTGAGTCAAAGAGGAAAGACATAAGTACGTTTTTTTCTTTTCACAGTTGCACCAGCTTCCCACATTGGAAAACACCAGTAAGCTAAGAAATGATATCAGTGTATGCAGTAAAATGTGCTTCTTGTCATCTACTTGCAGGTTTTCACAGTTAATGACACTGCCGTTTCAGCTTTTCCTTTCTTCAGTGCCTGGAATTCTTATTCCACAGCACTACTTGTAACATTGATTGAATATTTAGTAATAATGAAGACACTGTAAAATGCATTCCAGTCTACTAAGATAATCATGATTAAGGTATTAATTTCAGCATTTTTCAACTACTTTACGATTTCTACCGTTGATTCATTTACTAGTTAAACTAGAATTGATCGATCGTCTGCATTCTGCTGGTTATTTTTATCTGAGTTTATTTACCTCAACAGTACATTTTATTACATATAACTTACAGATGAGGAACGGAGACTCAGGGAAGTGAAGGCACTTTTTTACGAGTATATTTTTACTGGTATATTTTACAACTCAAAGTGCAGTGCTTTTTCCATTCTCCAGCCTTCTTTTTTTTAGAATGTCAGCAGTACTTGCAAAGCACAAACATTTAGTTTTTGAACCAAACTAAGTTGACTTCAGAACCTAAAACTGCCACTTACAAACTACTTGATTTTTAAAGAATTCTTAATCTCCAGAAGTCTCTGTCTTCATCTGCAAAACAGGAATAAAAGTAAGAGTTTAATAATATTTTTAAAGAATGATATATGTCTGTATAACATTTAATCTACGACATATAATGTATGTAATGTATAACATATAATGGTGTATGTAACACATTTAGGAAGTAATAGATGTGTATTAATAGTAAGAGATAAAGGGGAGCCTGGGTGGCCCAGTCAGGTAAACGTCTACCTTCAGCTCAGGTCATGATCCCAGGGTCCCAGGATAGAGACCGAGTTGCCTGGATCCCTGCTCAGCAGGGAGCCTGCTTCTCCCTTTCCTCCCCACTTGTGCTCTCTCTCTCTCTCTCTCTCTCTCTCTCAAATAAATAAATAAAATCTTTTAAAATAGTAAGTAATAAATACTTACTTATTTCCCGGGGGAAAAAAAGGAAATATTACTGGAGATAAGTTATATCTATTCCTTTAAATGGGAATACGGATTAATCACTAGGCTGGGAGTAAATAAATCGGATGTCTAGCCCTTCTTCATTTAAAAAAAAAAGGACTATATGGTACATGGTTCTCTAAAGATCTCTCAGGTCAATATTGAAAAAGAAAGACAAAAAATTTCTCTCTGATGAGTGAGAGAAACAATGAAAATATACTATGTAATAAAAATTACAGGAAGTGTTTGGTACTACGAAGACTAAGTCTTTAAAGGAAGTGATGAACCATGAGGTTAGGAACTAGCATGCGGGATTGTCAGGCAAGGCCTCTCTGAAGAAGTAACATTGGAACAGCGACCTGAATGAAGTGACACAGAGAGTCATACATAGACCTAGGGCCATGGCAGAGCAGGTAATAAGCTTGCAATTGAACAAAGACGTTAACAGGGAGGATGGAAAGAGGTTGTCAGAGATAGGAGGGGCCAGATCACGTAGACTTCTGTAAGCATTTGGGTTTTATTCTGTGTGTGTTTAGAAGCCACTGAAGGGTTTTATTGAGCGTGGTGGTCATCAGGTATTAGCAATAAAGATCTCTCAGGCTGCTAAGTGGAGAATAACATCCTGTATGGAGAAAACACTTCTGTGTGGTTAAGCATGGAAGATAAGGAGATAAATTAGTTGCCACAGGGCAGGAAAGAGCTAATGATGGCTTCAAGTTAGACTCTGTTAGTTCAACTAATGAATGTAGTTTGCATGAAACAGAGAAGAAAAACAAAACAAAATGACTTCTGTGTGTTGGTTTTTTTTTTTCCCCCAAAGCAACAGGATGAACAATGATTCCACTTACTGAGATGGGAAAGATAGAGGAACACATTTTATAAGTGTCTGATGAATCTCTTGGGCACCAAAGTGGATTTAGCGAGCAGGCAGTTAGATATGTACGTCAGGACCTCTGGGGAGCAAGTGTTATTAGAGCTCCTAACTTGGGAGTCAGCAGTCCAAAGATGAATTCCACATGACTGGATGAGATCACCCTTAGCAGTGATCTTCAGAATGGGAGTCTCACAATCACCTAAAGGGGTCCAGAAAGAAATGACCAGGACATAATTTTATATTTATTCTTACGTTTAATTTTAATTAATATTATGTGATTTGATACTGATGCCCTCGCATTGTGCATATCGTGTATCGCACTGCACACAGGGTACCCTGAGGTAACTGCAGGAATTACATAACAAGGAGGTGTAATGGGCAAAGCTTCATTTTTTTTTTTCAACATAATGTGACACACTGTGGTATACTTATATCTGCACACATGAATATATATGTGAATATATATGAATAGATTACCTAGTTTTTAAAATAGCTTCTTAAAATAAACATTGTATTTTTATAATAATTTTAGATATACAGAAAAGTTACACAGATAATACAGAGTTTCCAAATATCCATCACTCTGTTCTCCTAATGTCACCATACATGACCTCAGTTCTTTTGTCAAAATTAAGAAACCAATGGTACATGACTACCACCTTTATTAGAGAGAAAAATGATCATCTACTTTGATCCAGTAAGAAGTTGGACTAAAAAATCCAAATAGCCAAAAAGACTACTGAATATCATTTTCTAGACCTTATTTTTCACCCTTAAATGTACCCCAAGTGCATATGAAACTTGAGATATTGACTAATGTTTGTATGAAGCCACTAAAATTCCCACACTTTTATAATTTAAAATTAGTGTCCTTGGATTAAGACTGCTTACAGAGAAAGCAGGAGAGAAGAAGTTACTCGGTGGTTACCTCCTAAAGAACAGAAGTAGCAGTGTCCCTGGGATGCTCTGCCACAGAAATGGACCCTACCCCAAAGGAGGGAAGGGAGCTGGAGTACCCAGTTGTCAACACCAGAGGCACCAGGGAAGGCACTGCCATGTGATTTGATGTAATTGTATCTGATGACTTTTCTTTTTCTTTTTTTTTTTTTTTAGATTTTATTTATTTATTTGACAGACAGAGATCACAAGTAGGCAGAGAGGCAGGCGGAGAGAAAGAGGAGAAGCAGGCTCCTTGCTGAGCAGAGAGCCCGATGCGGGGCTCGATCCCAGGACCCTGGGATCATGACCTGAGCCAAAGGCAGAGGCTTTAACCCACTGAGCCACCCAGGCGCCCCTCTGATGACTTTTCTACTACAATTATTCTCTACAGAAATTATAAGAATGGCAGCATCTGTTTTCAAGACCAAAGATAATCAAAAGCAGATAAAGTAATAGTCTAGCCCTGTGTCACTAAGAAAGTGTAAGTAATCTCATTTATTTTCTAAAGATATAAATCAAAGGGGAAAAAAAACCTAAATCTCTACAATGCAAACAAAAGCTCCCTAGTTTCTCTGACTTCTATTCCAAATTACCGCCTCTGACCTTTTCTTAAAACTTTAAGCATCACAAGGAAATCAGTGGGAAGGGAATCATGTGCTAACCAAATACTTAAAGAGCAGAAAAACGCACTGGAGTGAAAGGGGATTAGTAAAGGGTGGGGAAGAGGACAAAGCCCCTCCCAGTTTTAGTGAGCAGATTTGGGATTAGTAATCAAGCAGAAACCCACATGCAATTAACGGCTCTGACATCAGGGGAGAAGCCCATATAAAACACTCAGCTCTAAGAGGGGTTCATCAGAGAATCCCCTCCGGAGTGAAAGGTACTGGAAAGAAGCTCTATGGGGAGTGGGTGGACTCCCGCCAAATCTCCATTAGGATGGGAGACTTTAAGTCACGGAAATTAACTCGCTGAAGATCTGCTTCCAATTCTTCTTCCAGCTTCATGGTTAAATGTAATTAATGGCTGTGACCTGCTAATGAATGCTTTTGATAAGAGACATCTATGATGAGTTCTTTTTTTAATAAATAGAAATTTAAAATGAAGAAAACTAAATGCTCAGAGCGGGAATTTAATTATGTAGGTATTATACATGTCAAGTTTCTAAAGGTAAATTAGTATTTTTATGATTTGCTAGAAATGTCATTTTACAGATATGAAAGGTATTTTGAAGGGGGTTGGGAAGGGCTCATGCCTGTTTATAACAGACCCGAAAGAGAACTGGCACAATTTCATTTTGTTTTCTTCTTTTCAGCTCCTTTTTTAATTGATGTGCTTCAGTCTCCACACAAAGGGCTGCAAACCAGAGATTTGTTCTTCGCTCTTGTTTAGAGCAGAATGAAAGCTCATAAACTCCTCTTCCTGGGATGCATCTTCTTGCCCCTGCTTTTTTTTCATCGGACCTGGGCTCAGTTCCCAAGAGAGTGTGCCACTGTCGAGGCCTTGAGAAACGGTGTGTGTTGCCCCAATCTGTCCCCGCTGTCTGGGCCTGGGACTGACCGCTGTGGCTCCACATCAGGAAGGGGCAGGTGTGAGGCAGTGACCGCAGACTCCCGACCCCACAGCCCTCATTACCCCCATGATGGCAGAGATGATCGGGAGGCTTGGCCCACACGGTTCTTCAACAGGACATGTCACTGCAGTGGCAATTTCTCAGGACACAACTGTGGGACTTGCCGTCCTGGTTGGAGAGGAGTTGCCTGCGACCAGAGGGTTCTCACAGGTAAGTGGGGATATCAATGGAGGAGACACAGTTCTTCCTGAGACTCAATGCATTTAACAGAAACCTAAATCACTGGAGCTGGAAGAATACCTGGAAATCCTATAACTCGGTTGAGGGAGATGAGACTTGGAGAGGATAGTAAGTTTATGCAGTTTAAAGAGTCAAGGCTCAGATGTGAGTTATGCGATTTTCTTCTAAAACACTTACTGGGCAACCATGCTACTCAAGAAACTGTGCTAGGTGTTTACAACTAGAACTTTTTTTTTTTTTTTAGATTTTATTTATTTATTTGACAGAGAAAGAGAGATCACAGGTAGAGAGGGAAGCAGGCTCCCTGCTGAGCAGAGAATCCGATGTGGGGCTTGATCCCAGGACCCTGAGATCATGACCTGAGCCGAAGGCAGAGCCTTAACCCACTGAGCCACCCAGGCGCCCCATGACTAGACGTTTTTGTAACTTATCAAGGTAGTTATGTTAATGGTCATAAGCGAGGTTCAGAAAGGTCTAATCCATATAGCTGGGACTTGGAAACCCTGGAATTCACCCCTGAGGTCAGTCTAGCTCTAAACCATGAGCTTCTTCCACTGCCCTTGCTAACACACAATGAAATTGCCCACTGTTATGGATGGTCAAGTTCAGCCATTTTAGATGACGAACCTCACCTGTGCCCTATTAAATAGCAATAAATAGCAAAGCTCTGAAGAGTAAAACCAGAAATACTTTCTTGTTTTCTATGTGCCAAACATTGGACCAAAGGGTCTAACAAGAGTTTTATTGAGTCTTTATTATGAGCCAGGCTCTGATATAATTTTATGTGTGTACTCTTTAATCTTTACAATTCTGTAAAGCAGATATTGTTTTTACATACACCTGACAGATGAAAAACTGAGACTTAGAAAAATGAGTGCAGAGTCATAGAATGAGTCTCTGGCCTTAACCACTATATCATGTTTTTGCAAGGTTTATGATTTTAAGAATGTAGAAAGTTCCCAAAATACAGCAATGGTAAGCAGAACTAATTACAAGATCACAGAATCATAAAGTCCACAGTCAGATTAAAGAAAGCTAACAGAAATCCTAGGGTAAGGGGTGGGGGATGAAAACAGGCCTAAAGAAGGCATTTTAGTAAGAGGTATTTTTAAAAAGTATAAAATGATTTAAATATTTATGCAGATTATCGTTAGTGGGTAAATGGGACACGGCGTTATGATTATGGTTCATGAGGCGGATGCTTTCATGGTTGAATTTTGTATCCTTGAAGTCAGGAGAAACCTTCTGGACTTAAGTGCAGAAGAGAAGAAACGCTTCATCCAGGCCTTAGACATGGCAAAGCGCACAATTCACCCTCAATTTGTCATTGCGACCAGGAGATCAGAAGAAATACTGGGGCCAGATGGCAACACACCACAATTTGAAAACATTTCCATTTATAACTACTTTGTTTGGACACACTATTACTCAGTCAAAAAGACTTTCCTCGGGCAAGGACAGGAAAGCTTTGGTGAAGTGGATTTCTCTCACGAAGGACCAGCTTTCCTCACGTGGCACCGGTACCATCTCCTGCAGCTGGAGAGAGACCTGCAGGTATGTGTGGAACTTTTCTGTTCTCAGGTCCAGTTTGTAAGTCATCTTAACTCACTGTGTTCTTAATGATCTAAACATGTGATTAATCTGCCTCTGACATTCGTGAAGTTTCTCCCTCTACTGATTACTTACTCATTAATTAATCTTTCTCTTTTGTGAAGGGTTTGTGAAAAGATGGTAGTATCAATGATGAGGGAGCCAGTTGTGACATTTGTAGGTGTGATTTAAAGTGTTGGACGTATTCTATAGCTCTGTAATTGAAAAAATGATCTTCATATGGCTTGCAACAAAAGAATCTCATTTGCTATGTCTTCCTTCTTGAATATAAACCAATACTCCCTCCTCCAGGTTTGGATGAAAACAAGTGTGCATACACTTCTGAGGCTACCAAGTCCCAAATACATCTCCCATTATGCCAGCCGATGATTCTAATACAGTATAGGTTTTAAATTATGGAAAATATCTTTTACATTTATATAGTCCTATTTTCATTGAGTGCCATTTTGTTTCCATGACCCCTGACACTTCAAGGCCTGTGGAAGAAACCTAATAAAATATCATATCAATCAGACAGCATTTTTCCTTAAATAGCATTAACTCTCTGGGGGCCATAAAGTGAACCTCAACCCAAACATAAGTATTTCCTGCTTATTTTTAAGCAGAGAAGCTCTAGCCACATTAAAGGATCCGTTAACACAGATATCTTTATTATCGTAGTTTCTTTTGCCAATTGCCTTTCTTGAGAGAAGTGTTGGAATTTTCAAGTGACATTTTAAATTATTATATCTCAACAAGGAAATCCACAGAGTGAACCCGTTCTCTAAATGAAATGAATTCTTTCCCTCAAATTAAAATCTGAAAATTAATCTGAAAATATCTGAGGGCAGAAAAGGTGTTTAGATTCACCTATTGATATAGTATGCCAGCTGTCAGCATTATCACAAAGTAAATGATTGGAATACAGAATAAAATATTGCTATGAAAGCAGTCCAAACATATGCAGTTTGAGAGTGATTAAATTAATTCATCTGATACTCTGAACTTCATATTTTAAAGTTCCGATTACAAGTAAGACATTTAGTAGATGACGAGTAGATAAATCTGTCATTTGTAATCAGCTCCAGATCTCCGTGCCTTTAAGTCATTTTCCCATGGGCACACCAAAATGAAAGGGCAGGTGGAAAGTATCTAAATGCTTCGATTTTGCCTGTGTAAACTTCAACCTCTATGACTTACCATTTTAAAACCCAACAGCACAAGGGATCCAACAAATTACAATCTAAATGTAATGCACAGTTGAAATGCCACATGAATACGCTCCAGCTCCCAAATGTCAGCTCTGAACCACAAACTGACTCTTATTGATCCCTTGGAAGCTGCCACTAATTTTTGTGAACCAAAACAATGGCTTCTAAACAAGGGCTCTCAACCCCTGGAGATCAATAACTGAGGACTCCTTGGAAAGCTTTGGGTCCTCTAAAACACCCCAAGGGCATGGAAATACTTCCTGGGAAGGGTTTAAAGTAAAAAGGCAGAAAAGTACTAAATGCTTTGGAGGTGAGATAAAACAATGGCAGGCTCTCCATCTCAATCCCAGGCTTTAAATATACTCCCCAAAGTCCTAAGGGGAATGAGAACAAGTACAATAAATGCATGTTTTAGGGAACTCAATAAAAGAAGCATGTGATCTTGAGTCCAGTACATTTAAGAATTGTTGCGTCAGCTCGGAAGGGAAACTTGGACCCTGGTTTAAAGAACAGTATGCACAAAGAAGTATTTTGCTTCTGTTGAGTATTTCCTGACAGTATTAGTTTCGAGCAGAAACCCAAGTCTTAACAGTTTAGATTCTGAAGCAGGGGTCTTTTAAGTAAAACACCTTCAGTGCCCAGGCAGGTAAGGTAAGTGTGAAAGACTATGTAACCTGTGAAAAGTCAAATCCTTGTGTCTGGGGCTTGGAAAACCTGGATTGTACCATTGAGGTCTTCGTTGCTCCGATCCATAGGCTTCTCCCACTGCCCTTGCTAACCCACAAAACATTTTAAAGGCCAGACTCCAAATGCCTGAAGTCGTTTAAGTTAAATTTTAAAAGACAGAAACAAAACAAAAAGTACTGCTCTACATATTTAAAGGCCGGATCTGGCTCCAGACCCAGACTTAGTGAGGCTTGAATTCAAGATATGAAACAGAAGGAGGTAAAGTGTCAAAGGGTGAAAGTTATTATTGGTATTTTTTGGTATAACCAATAGAAATGTGATTACCTGCTTAAAAAAGAAAGGGAAGAATCCCACCCCCCCCGAAAAAAGTCATTTGCAGAAACTTCTGTATGCTGAATGACTTCTTATAGTATATCAGAAGCCTTGTTAAATAAGGTGTTTAATTCCTCTGGCCCCTCAGACACCACTGATACTCTCACTGGTTCTAATTGCCCAAAGAGAGTTGATAGAAACACACCGCTGGGGAGAAAACCAAGCGAAGAGGGAGAATTTTAAACAAAAGCAGAGAATACTAATAAAAGTTTCTGTGATCTAGGAAATGTTGCAAGATCCTTCGTTCTCCCTTCCCTACTGGAATTTTGCGACTGGGAAGAACATCTGTGACATTTGTACCGATGACCTGATGGGATCCAGAAGCAACTTTGATCCCACTCTGATCAGCCTGAATTCTGTCTTTTCTCAATGGCGAGTGGTCTGTGAATCCTTGGAGGATTATGATACCCTGGGAACTCTTTGTAATAGTAAGTTCTAAATGACATCCAGGGTTCAGAATTCCCTTTTAGATAAAGAGATTAATTGTGTTGCCCTTCATTCTACTAAGGACTTCAGGGTAATATCTACTTTTACTATATAGAGAATCCATGTACAGATATATTCCTTGAACACTGGGGCTATTCAAGGCAATCTCAAAGGTTCCAGGGGAGAATAAACATTTTGATATGGCTTTTCTTAAGCAATTTGGTTAGTGCATTGCTCACTCTCTTATTTCGTAAATGTTCACTGTCTTATTTTGGAAATGTATGGTTATATAAAATTCATCCTCTTAGCACACTCAGCACTGCTCAGGAGTCATGTGTCTTCTGCTGGACTTTCACAGAAAATTGTTTCCCTGAGAAATCTGAAATGTGCAGAAACAGTTGAAGAGCCCAAAGAGTAAAATTCTAGTCAAAGGGTCAAAACAAATGGTGATATGAAGGATATCCTTAAGTAAAGGAAGATAATGGGGCACCTGGATGGCTCAGTTGGTTAAGTGTCAAGAGTCTTGGTTTTGTCTCAGGTCATGATCTCAGGGCTCTGGGATGGAGCCAGGTATCCGGCTCTGTGCTCAGCAGGGTGCATGCTTGAGATTCTCTCTCTGCCTTTCCCCCTGCTCTCTCTCTCTCTCTCTTTCAAGTAAATAAAACTAATAAATAAGTCTTTTTTAAAAAGAAAAGGAAAGGAAGGTACTGCACAGAAAAGATCTGCCAGCCAATCACTTTCCACCTCTCTCAAAGCAAACACATAAAGAGAATGCTTAACCAGCTGTCCTAGCTAGCATCCTTTCTCCAGTGATTTAAATGCCACTTTTGCCTTAGGCCAAGTTTCTCTGATATGTGGATATGTTCCTGAGTATACCATTCTCTTCCTTGGATCACATTATTAGTCTCTGTGGTACTAACACAAGGTCTTAATTATTAGAGTCTCCCTACCCTGTCTTATTTTTCTTCTTCAGGCATGCTCAGTTATTTTAAGCTTGTTCTTCCATGTAAAAACTAGATTTCAGGAATTTATTTTATTACTATCTTCATAGCACATTTTATGTACATTCTTTTAAGTTTAAAATATTAAATTCCTTTATAAATGTAAAAAAAAGGATATTCTTAAAAAGAATATTCTAAATAGAACAAAAATTCAGATTTTTTCACCATTAGAAAATTATTTAGCTGTGTATAGGAATAAAGGAAGAGGGAAGTGACAGTATATTAATTTTTTTTTTTTTTCTGTAGAAGCTTAAACCTTAGAGTAAAAATTTTGTTTGGCATGCTGAATGAGTAACCCCACCTTGAAGTACAATTGAGAATCAATATATCTTTAGATACCAAAACATTAATTTTTGAGCATGTTATTGTATTTTGGCCTGGGATTTTTTTTCCAGACATTTTCAGATGATAGATAATTGTATACCAAAATGTAGCATAGTTTAATGGGTAAATAGGAGAGAAGTCCCTTGGTCACAATCTCTTGGTCAATTAGTCTAAGTCTCATAACAAGACACATAGTTTCATGAAAAATTGAAGATTATGTATTTTAAATGAAACAAATTTGAAGATTACTCCTTGTCTTTGTTAAAAATATAAATGCCAAGCATTTTATTTATTAGGACAGTGAAAGATAAAAGGAAACTAATAGTTGATTCAACACATGCTATGGAGCTGATATTGTGCCAAATGCTTTAATATGATACTGTATTTAATTCTCCTAGAGAGGAGCACCTGGGAGGCTCAGTTGGTCAAACCTCTGTCTTCTGCTCAGGTCATGATCCCAGGGTCATGGGATCCATCAAGCCCTAAGTCTGGCTCCCCGCTCAGCAGGGAGCTGACTTCTCTCTGTCCCTTTTGCCCCTCCCCCCTGCTTGTGCTTACATGCTCTCTCTCACTCTCTCTAATAAATAAAATCTTTTAAAAAACAATTCTCCTAGAGATTCTTTCCTTTCTTTACTGTTCTTGGATGAAATGATCCATTCCTGTGGGGGTTTTTTTATCATATTTTACAGGACAGCCATGCATAGACATATCACATGCCTGTGTTTTCATGGGCTTGTTGAACCATGTCTCTCCAATGTTCCATTAATGCACCAAACTTGGTACTTTGAAAGAATGAATTAGGGACACCTAAGCCTCTTCTAACCAGTAAAATATCATGATGAAAATACTGTTGTTTCTAGAGTATTTCCTCCATCTACTTTCTCCTTCACACACTCAGAACTTTTTATTCCTTCCTGCATGAAAACTCCACAAGACTCCAATCTGTACAATGGTTTTAGGCGCATTTTAGGCAGAGGTTGTCCATGCCTATTTGGTCCAAACCTAAATACCCTTGGGTTAAATTAAATTGGTTTAAACTAGTTTCTTTACTATCTGAATTCTCCACTATGAAACTCCATGAGGGCAAAATTAGAAATGTAGTGTTTTCAAAACCCACGGGATTTATTATTTTTTCTTGGAATTTATTGACAGCTCCTGAACAATAATCCCTAAAATATAAACTTGAATTGATAGATTAGCCAGTGGTATCTGAAACTTCTAATAATAATGTATACCTAAAAAAATGTACATCTACTTTCTAATCTCAATATTGTCATATGTTTAATTTTTATATATATAAATAAATTTGCTATGCTAATTCATCAGGTATTAACCATTAGGTCAGTTATAAACATTACAACATAGTAAGCTTTATGAATGAAGTAAAATGTATACAAGTTGCAGTTGTAAGATCACCTCTCCCATGCAGATTATTCTGCATATACTAGTAGGACACACACATTCCTCTGGGGACCACTGAACAGACAAATGCAAAAGGCTCCTAACCAATCTCCTTTCCTCCCAACGACCTAAGATTTCTCTTCACTTCTTATTGAATTAAATATAAGTTTATCCTATTGCTCTTTATTTCTTCACGTATGGTTCTGGTCTAGCTTTTCATTGTTCTCCCCGTCCACTACTCTCATACAACACCCTGTGCTCAAGGCAAGTTATTTCCCACACAGGCCCTCTTTTATAGCCAACATGATCTTTCCATACATCAGCATACAGCAAACGATGATTTAGCATCTGTTACATGCCAGACACTATACCAAGATTAAGGGGTGTGCTGGTGAGAGAATACAGAGAGCATTCTTGCTCTGACAGAACATATCTTATAGACAGGAGAAAGCTTATCATCTGTCGTTATTACCTCTGCCTAAAATGTCTGACTTGTAACATTTCTCCTCTTTCACCTGAAAATTCTCCTCAGTCCTTCAGGGCTCTTTGCAAATCTCTCCCCTTTAATCACACCCTTCTGGAGTCATTCAACTAGAAAGGATTGATATTCTTTCTCAGTCTCTCTCTCTCTCTGTCTCCCTCTCTGTCTCTCTCTCTCTCTCTCTGTCTCCTTTCTCTACCTTCCAGTCTGCCTCTTTCCCTCTCTTTCTCTCCCCTCTCCCTCCCTTAAGGCACCTATCCTATTACCCCTAGTATCACAGCTCTTTGTTTCCTGTTTGTCTTACTGCCTTTTAAAAAGTCTAATTATTTCTCACATTAATTGCTGTAAAACATGAATTGATTGAAGTACAGACCATGTCCCAAAGAGATTTTGGATTGTATTTCTTTATTTCTCTGAAGGCTTGAAACAAATAACATTTGAGTACAAAATTTCACATATATGTGAAATACAGATTTCACCATGGAATTTAGGTTTATGAGATTTTGGTAAAATTCAATTTTCCAAGGAATTTTTATGTTAATATATTCTCACTACAGAAGCATACATCGATTAAAAATATCAGAACCTCTACCTATTTGTGATTTTATAGATCCCATTGATTTTATAGATCACATATCTATTTTAAAATCTTCTATTGATTTTATGGATCGCATATCTAATTCTGTTCACAGAAGTGGTCATGATAACTTAGATTTTCTCACTGTAATGCTCCTAAGTAAGCATTTTTAAAATTTTTCTCTTCTACCAAGAACTTATCTTTCCATGTTCTTGCTATTAATAAAAATTAAAGAGCAAAGATAAGATCTCTAAATATTCTATAAATGTTTACATAGTCCATCCTTTTTCCAGGTACTGAGGGTGGACCAATTAGGAGAAATCCAGCTGGAAATGTGGCTAGACCAATGGTGCAACGTCTTCCTGAACCACAGGATGTCGCTCAGTGCTTGGAAGTTGGTTTATTCGACACCCCTCCTTTTTATTCCAATTCTACAAACAGTTTCCGAAACACAGTGGAAGGTAAGTAAAAGAAATCAGCGTTTTGAATTCATCTGGTTATCACAGTAGACTGAACTGTTCACATTCAGATCTTTTTGAAAAATCTTTGAAAGCCGCATTGATCCTGTGAATTTACAGGAATGTTTCTTCCAATTATGATGCAGTCACAGTTCTTTGCTCAAGAAAGAACTTGTTAAAGAAAAGTGTCAGACCATGAAACTCTTTTTAATTATCATAGGAGAAGCCCTTGGAAATTGTTCTTCAATCTCTTAAATACCTAAAAAGTATTTAAACAAATCTGTTAGGTGGCTGATCAATAAGTGTATAACTATATCAAATTCTAGTAGCGTCAAATAATATTCAACAATTTGAGAGCTTATTAAAATTTTTTCTTAAAAAATAACAATAAAAAATTCTAAACAATTAGTTGACAGCCAATAAAGCCTGGTTGGGGCATTCATTTTATTTAAGTTTATATCATCCTGTAACTTTTCTCAAAGGTCTAAAAATATTCAAATTACCATGTAATGATATTTACTTTGATTTTCCTTATTTAATTCAAGCATTTTAAAGCTGAGGAAACTAAAGACCAAAGAGTTACCGTGAATATCCCCCAAGGTACTCAGTAACAGAGCACAATTTCAAATCCAAATTTTCTAAGTCCAGCGTCTTTATATGATGAATTTTGATTTCGGTAAATCATTATTGAAACATAGTTAAAGTTTTAAAACAACAGAATCACATTTAAGTATTAAAAATCTCTTCCTGTCAAAATTCACATTATATGTAGCATTAAACATATTAGACTCCTCCCTCTGAAAAAGAATGGGAATAGATCTCTCTGGCCTCATGATCTGAGATACTTGAAACATAAATCTCATCATTATTTTCATTCTCTCCCCTTTTCTCATCAAAAGTGTATGCCATTCTCTTCTATCTTCATGTTAATTTTAATAATTAAATATGAATGTACTGATTGGTAGATTATTCAATATATCATCGCTATATTTTGACTAAAGTGGTATATATAAACTAAGGCCATAAGCACTAATTTTTTTTTAAAAGATTTTATTTATTTATTTGACAGAGATCACAAGTAGGCAGAGAGGCAGGCAGAGAATGAGAGGAGGAAGCAGGCTCCCTGCTGAGCAGAGAGCCCGATGTGGGGCTCGATCCCAGGACCCTGGGATCATGACCTGAGCCGAAGGCAGAGGCTTTAACCCACTGAGCCACCCAAGTGCCCCATAAGCACTAATTTTTAAAAGAATGTGTAGATTGCATCTTACTGAAGGTCAATCAAAAGACAAATTGCTCTGATGTCCTGACAGAACATATGAAAAGGACCAGCCCCTACCAACATGACCATTATGTTACAGGCAATCTTTAAATATTTTATAAATAAAAAACAATAATGGGATGAAAGTATGAAACATGGCTAAATAAATGAGTGTAATTATACAAATGGGTTAATGTATTTTAAATTCTAATTTTATTTTATAGTATGTAACTTTTCCCTGCTGTCCCACCTCTGATTCTTACTCCATCCCACATCATAGACCCTCCATTTTTGTTTGTGATCTTTCCTCACCTTTTGCCATTTATACATATATATACATATATATATATGTATGAAAATATGTATGGAAAATACATATATAATATGAGGATATATAACATGAGAAATATATATAATACATGTAGTACAGGAAATGTACATATTATATGGGAATAGCATATATATATCATATAGAATATGGGAAATATATATGTAGAATACAGATAATTATCAAAAGTCCTAGAAATATTTCAACCAATAGACTGTCCAGATGTTTAAAACTAGTACAGACATGATAAGAACGTTCTGAGAAATTGTGACTTTTCTACAAAAATAAGATAACTTTCCAAAAATAAATATGCTGACAGTCAAAAGGAATAAGGCAGGAAACTAAAGTAACATCTGGCGATGTATGTTCTAGGACAATCAGAGGGATGTTCTCCCAATTGTGCCAGCAGTTTTTAGAAGAAGCTGGAGATTTCCATTGTCTTTATTTCCACTAGACCAATGTTTGCCTTGTCAAAATAGTGTGTTCTATATATTTTGACTGGTATCCTTTGCAGGCCATTATTTTTAACCTAGAGGCTACATTTAGCAAATCAGGCCACTAGTTTAAAGCTAACCAAGCTCTGGGTAGAGCAGGAAATGACACCAACCATAGGTACAGAGAAGCGGTGCTATTACAGTAAAGTAAAAATTGGCCTGAGAAGCTTAGGAAAAATTGTTTCCCAGTTTAATCACTACCACTGATTTGGAAAGTAAGATGTTTGTGATGGCTTTTACTAGTCTCACCCATGTTTTTTTATCTAGGTTACAGCGATCCCACAGGAAAATATGACCCTGCTATTCGAAGTCTTCACAATCTGGCTCATCTGTTTCTGAATGGAACAGGGGGACAAACCCATTTATCTCCAAATGATCCTATTTTTGTCCTCCTACATACTTTCACTGATGCAGTCTTTGATGAATGGATGAGGAGATATAATGCTGGTGAGATTTTTTCATACGCTTTTTTGCAGGCTCAACAAGGACACTGCTTAGGTGATAGAGTTATCACTATAAAGTAAGCACTCGACACATCTGAACTACACTTCAAAATAAGGATAAAATAGCTGTGATATCTGGACATTTCCAAATATCCCAAACTACTTTGAAAATGCAGATGAAACATCTCTTATAACAGTTATAAGATATTAGCATTCACTCAGACTAAGCACATAATTCCTTCCCATTTTGTATGAAAAGATGACTATCATACTCTTCAATTTTTTCTTCCCCAATCTTCCAAAAAACACTGGCATTGTCTTTTTCTTTTTCTTTTTTTTTTTTTTGGAACGTTCTCATTGTGAATAAAAAAATCCTACTGAACTCTTCCTCAATACCCAAAAGACAAAAAAATTATACTCACAATCCACAGTTTTGATTTTTATTACTTTTGGCCTCTTATAAATGGAAATTTTATTCAACTTGAAAAGTTAATGTTGGCTTTTTATCACTGCATATATAATCTCTTTCAACCTCATTTTAATGCATTTTTTAAAAATATTATTTAAAAGGCCATTTTCCTTTCAGTTCTACTCAGCTGAGAGGCTCACATTACTTTTCAAATAACAAAAGTGCTTCTATCGGTTAAAACGTCATGCATTTTCATATTTCAAAACTGTTCTAAATTTTTGCTTCTGTGCTTTTACTTCATCACACACATAAACATAATGTTGGGGATTAACTATTGATTTATCTATCCAATTCAGCCAGCCTCTTATTTCTGTATGTGTGTGTGTGTGTGTGTGTGTGTGTGTGTGTGTGTTTGTGTCTGTTTATACACCAGAAACCTCTAATCCAACCTGATTAGGAGCATTAACTAATGTATTGAACAAAATCGTATGTTCCATCAGAAAATCCCTGAAGAATCAAATAACTTACATGTAAATATTCGCTCGTCAACCTGCTATGAGTTCACTGGTTGGAGTGCCACCTTATTTCACATGTATTTACATACATACCTACAAACATAATGAATTACCTAGAATTTACAATGTCTATTTTTTAAGTGAAACAAGAAATTAACAACCCTTGAGATGCAATGAATGCAGTATTATTGTAGATTTTCATAATGCCTACCTTATCTTTACAAACATAGTGCTCACTCCTAAATCTTACCCAATATCTCTTCAACAAATCTTTCCTAAGCAATCATATATTTAATATAACACAACATCTTTCTCTTTTTACAGTCATAATTATCATTTTATGTATGCTTAGCTGTCTTACTTTTAGGACGATAACAAGTAAATGGGAGTTAATAGGTTTAGGAATGAACAAAAACTTTCATTAAATATACACTTCTGGGAACTAGACAATGATGTACAAACTGCACTTACGCAGCCATTCAAAATGGACTGTTTGTAAGTTTTTCTTACTTAACACTTACTTAAGAAGTCAGAAGAAGTGGAGAATCTTGGTTACTCTGGCAAGTCTCTTAAGGGGAGCTTTCTTTCATCCATGAAAACAAATGATCCTTTGCCTTACATATCTTGATTGAAAAGATCATTATTTCACATTCATAACAATCCATTAAAGGTCATTGATGAACCAGATAAACACCTTTGCTTCTTAGCTAATTTCTTCCTGCTCCCTTTGTGTATGCTATAAATAGCATAAGATCTCTCAGTTACCTGGAGAGTAACGGAGGGAAAAGCACCATAAATGAAAAATAGGGAACTTGAACCTATTCTGACAAAATACGGCCACAAAATTATAGGACAAGCCAATGTAAACACTAATAAATTGCATGAACACTAAACACTAACAGTTAACTACCCACTTAAATATTCCATGCACCTGCAAATGTCCCTTGAAAAACAGTGTCATAGAACAACTATGTTAAAGAAAAAATAAAACAATGGGAAAAATTTCTAAAATTATCCATATAGTAGAAATCTTTGTTGAAAATAAGGATGGAATTATATTTTCAAAATGTATTAAACAGCTTTTACAGATAATGAGAACTCTTCAAAAATCATAAGATTATAAAATTATTAGGATCAGAATGGAATAAGAGTTACATTTTACAGCTGAAGGAAATTATAGTCATTTACAGGGAAAAGTCTATTACAGAATCCTTTCATTAGACATGAGGTAGAACAATATAGAACATCCAAACTAATACTAATTTTTATTCACTAACATTTTTTATCTATGTGCATATTTACTTCAAATCTCTTTTTTTTTTCAAATGAGAATCGTGTGAATTAAGTTTTAAATATAGTACTCCAGAAGTTCAGTGAATTTTTCAGAAGAAGCAGTTTATATATTTCCTAGACCAATCACTACTATTATGCCCTGAAAGAAATGAAGTAATCACACACACACTCAAATCCTTTCACATATATTATCTGATTCCATATCCTGGTTATTGTGAATAATGCTACAATAAACCCGGATGCAGACATCTCTTTGAGATACTAATTTCACATCGTTTAGATATACCCCCAAAGTGACATTGCTGGATCATATGGTGGTTCTATTTTTATATTTTGAGGAACTTCCATTCTGTTTCCATAGTAGCTGTACCAATTCCCACCAATAGTGTGCAACGGCTCTCATTTCTCCACACTCTTGCCAATACTTGCTTTCTCTTTTCTTTTTGCTAATCGCCATCCTAAGATATGTGATCTCTCATTACAGTCCTAATCTGCAATTTCTGATGATTAGTGATATTCAATACTTTTTCACATACCTGTTGCCCATTTGTAAATCATCATGTCATACATCTTAAATATATACAATTTTTTGGTCAGGTGGACCTCAGAAAAGCTGGAAAAAATACTATGAGCACCTACTATTCCCCTACATTGTCTTCTAGATACCAGAAATACAGTAGCATTCAAAACACACAAAATAGTTTCCCTCCTGGAACCCTCCTAATTGTTAGTAGAAATGACAGTAAAAATATGTAAGTAAATATATAGTATGTTAGATGGGGGAAAGTCTTTTTAAGCAAAGAAAATCAGGAAAGCGGTTAGGGGGTATGAGGTAAATACATGGGAGATCATCCCTAGGTGAGCAAAGGAGCCCACTCTGACTGAAGAGTGGAGGGAAAATGATGGGAAATAAGGTCAGAGGGACAATAGGTGGAGATTTTGAGGGATATTAGATGTACTTCTAGGATGGGGGAGCCCCTGAAGAGTCTTGCATAGGAAAGTCTCGTGACAATTCTGCTGTTACTATTTATTATTTTTATGATTATTCCTCCACTCATTTTAGTGGGTATAACTTTATCACATAGCTGATGCTGAACTGGGTTGAGACTGACCAAGTCAGGATCTAGTAGAAAGGTGAAATGAAAAGTTAAAAAATTATCTAAATTATTAACTTTAATATCTAATTTTAATAACTAATTAACAATAGTACACCAAAATGTGAGCTCCTTGAATCCAGGCATTTTGTCTGTTTTGTTCAGTGGCATCACCTCCATGGCTAGGCTGGTGTCTGGCATTGGTAAGAGCTCAATGGATTTGAATAGATAAATATTTAATTAGCATTAATACATAGTAAATTAAAAGTCACAAAAATATAAACACTATATACCATTTTAATGATCAAAAATGTTTTTTCAAAGTAGATGCTAAAACACTCTTCTGAGCTTCCTAGGATCACAGTGACTGTTTAGGTAATACATTTCTTGCAAACAGAAAATCTAATAATCCATTAGCCTTCTCACATATCCCAGCTCTTCTAAATATATTCCCACTCATGTCCTGCCCAAGCCCATTTCCAACTCTAGTCTTGACATATCCCAACTGGTTTAGTTGTATTGACAAAAATGCAGAACAACAATAACAAAAAAGAATAATCTTTTGCCACAAAGAGCATATCACTCTTTTTATCCCTGATGACAGAAACTCACTAATAATATAAATGTCTGTAATTTGCATTTAAGTAGAAAGAGGAGAGGAGGCAGGAGGTAAATAATATTTCAGGACCTTGATGTAAAATTTTAAGTGTTTTTCCTAACAAAGTATCTGGAGATAAGTTAATATTTATATCTCTGAAGATAAATAGAAAAAGTAAAGAATACCAAACAGATATATTTATATTCAAGGACAAACTTCCATTATATACAGTACCTCTCAAATTTAAATTTTAGATGAAGCTACAGCAAACTACAGATCCATCTTTTTTAAGCTTTGAAAAATAACTTCAATGAATTTTTTCAAATAAGCTTTTGTAATTTAAAAATAAAATAATTAATGATCATCATAGATGATAAAATATTAAAACTTCCCTGCTTTTAAACTTTCTTGATCTACTGAATGATATGCTAGTGCTGTATTCAAAGCATTTGAACTCGGTTTTATGCAATTCCCTGTTCTGCTGTAGTGAAACTATTTTTATAAAAAGAAATTTTTATGTTATCCTAGAATATTTCAGGTCACCTTCAGAACATAATAATAATTTATTAATACTAACTTTATTATGTCTAATAACAAGATGTCTTTGGCATATTTTAGATGTATCCACATTTCCACTGGAAAATGCCCCTATTGGGCACAATAGACAATACAACATGGTACCATTCTGGCCCCCAGTTACCAACATAGAAATGTTTGTTACTGCTTCAGACAATTTGGGATATACTTATGAAGTTCAATGGCCAAGTGAGTATTGAAAATGTAACTACTGTGGAAATTTCCAAAAGCAAATTTGTTGCCTTTTAAGGTAATCACAGTGTTCTGTGGCCTATATTTTCCACTTAGATTTAGAAGGTGTTATTTGGATTTTTATTTTGGGATAAAGAGACTAAATTTAACATATGTTGAGAGCCTACTCTGACCGGGAATTAAGTTGATTATATAGCACACTATCGCACTTAATCCCTACAACCCTCTGAGATAAGTATTGTAATCCTCATTTTACAAGTAAGGAAGAAGGGGCTGGCCATGATTAGTTTAGAAAGGATAAATGTCAAAGATCACATTTTTAGTAGGCAGGGAGAATTAATTTTGAGCTTAGACCTTTGTAATATGCCCCAATTTATTCTACTACATAATTGTGCCTCCTTATCTTTATACTGAAAAAAAATTAAAAAATCGAGTGAGATACTGCTCACTGCTTTTTCTGAGATTCTGAAATTGAAAAGTTTCTTGTTTAATATCCAATCCCTTCCCAACAAAGGCAGTAGGGTGGAAGAGCACACAGCATGTAGATTCTGAAAGGCTTGGGCTCTAAAACCAACTCTAGTGCCTCCTAACCAAGTGACCCAAGTGGTTCAAACCCTACAGCATCATTGTCTCAACTTTAGAATGGAATTAATAATAACTATTCCAGGAGGGTCCATTTATTATGAGAAACTGGGAAGTGCCTTCAGGATAACAGGTGCTATTATCAGCAATGTGGCCAGTAAAAATTATATATGAAGAATGTGGTAAAATGCCTGCAACAGTGTCTAAGTTTAGGGTGTCTGATTTTGGGGAGGCAACTATTTTACTGTTTATTTTTTATTCTCCTTTTATTTTTCCAATAGGTCGGAATCTTAGTATTTCTGAGATTGTTACCATAGCAGTAGTTGCTGCTTTATTACTGGTTGCAGTCATTTTCACAGGTGCTTCTTGCCTGATCCGTGCCAGAAGCAACATGGATGAAACAAATCAGCCTCTTCTCACTGATCAGTATCAACACTATGCTGAAGACTATGAAAATATGCAGAATCCTAATCAGTCTATGGTCTAATGACAAATGACCAATTCACTTATGTACTAGTATCACAAAAACACTTGGTTGAAAAATAATAGATTAAATTGCTTAGTGTATTTTCTTTCCCTCTGTTACTTTCTTCCTTATGCATGCACTTGTTAGAATTAAAGCTCTAAATATTGTTTTTCATAACTAGGAAGAGTCAAAATATTTTTTAATGGGATCTAGGTTTCAAATCTTTAAAATGGTAAGTTGTATGATAACTAACCAAAATTTAACCAAAATTTGAAACAACAAAAAATAAAATAAAATAATAAAATAAAATGAAATAAAACAGTAGTTTGTAGACAAATACCCTAACTTCTAACACTAATTTCTAACCCTAACCCTAACTCTAACCCTAACACTAACCCTCTTGAGAGGTCCCTGAACAGCAAAATACCAAGGACATACCCTAACCCTGACCCTAAATCTGAGAAAGTGGCTTCCTGAGTACATAAGAAGCTGAGAAGCAGCCTAGTTATCCTAGAGAAGACCCCAAACACTTAAGCATTGGTAGTATTTCTGAAAATGGGTGTAAAGGTAAAGATTAAAAAAAAAAAATGGTAGGTTGCACCAACTTCATGGTATTTAAGCAGAGTCTGAAGGTTTTGGGTACATTTTACAAGTCAACTATATGACAATGTTAATAAACTATTGTGCTCTGTTTATGCATAAAGAAAAATCATGATAGTAAATCTCTGATTAAAATACAGGAGTAAGAATTTCTACAATGTAAAATGTAAATATCTTTCCGTTCACTTACATTGAACAACAGATACATAGGAAGCCACAATTATTAGTTAAAATCAATTATGTGGAGCTATCAATGAGATCCCAATTAATTTTTTCAAACTAGAATTCCCCGTTGGACATCAGCATACATTTTAGTCCAAGGTTCAAAGTCGCAAAAAAATCATAATCACTGTCACATTTTGAAGTGGTAAAAACGTCACTTTGTTTAAAGGACAATTGATACTGCCTCTGTTTGCCACTATGTTCTACCTCTCAATTCACTGAAAAAGGAACTACCCATTAGTACACTTCACCTCCCAGTTCCTCTCCCAGTATCTTAGAGGTCCACAAGCAAACCACTAAGGTGAAGAACACACAGTAGGGTGTTCTATAATTACCATTCAATTCTTTGTGTTTACCCCCAAATAGCATTCTCTTATCATTTACCAGCCTTTTATATGTTTTCAAAACAAAGTATTTAAAATATTATTTCATCAGCTATCCTTTTCTATGCAAGCATGCAAGACTGTCATCAATTTTTTTCTTCTTCCTAGCTTCTAACATAAAATATTTTTTACTATTTTTGATCTTGGGGTACTGAAACAATATTCCCAAAGAACTTTAAAGGCTGGTCACTGTGAAAAAACATTTTCGATAAAATAGGTAAAAAGAAATACTAACAATGGTAACTATACACTACAGAAAATGGAGATTCTGGTATTCCCAACCCAAGAAATAGAAACTAGATTAAAGTTAAATACACACAGGGATGCCTGGGTGGCTTAGTTTGTTAAGCATCTGCCTTTGGCTCAGGTCATGATCCCAGGGTCCTGGGATGGAGTCAAGACATTAGGGTCCTTGTTAGTGGGGTATCTGCTTCTCCCTCTCCCTCTGCCACTCCCCCTGCTCATGCTCTCTCATTTGTTTTCTGTCAAATAAATAAATAAAATACTTTTAAAAAACTTTAAAAAAGTATGTACCCACAATTGGTTACTGGTTTTCCCTATATCTTGTACCCATAGCCTAAGCAACCATAAGGCTATGGGCAAAAGATAAATAAACAAAATGTGATAGTGAAGGAGAATGCATATACTAATAGTATCTTTTTTAATTTTCAAATAGCATTACTGAATTGATTTTCTGAATATATTTGATTTATTAAAATACTATATACTCATAGCTTTTCAGATAACCTATTGTATAATGTAAGATTTCTTTTCATATAAATGTCAATAAAACCAAATCCACCACATCATATTTTTAGAGATTTTTTAAGTGCTCATTTCATAAACATTTATTAGGCATATCCTCAATTTTTAGACACAGTTCCAGGTACTGTGGATTGGAGAGGGAAAAGTAAGAAATACACAAAATTGAGAAAGTCACATTTGATGTGGGCTTCGAGGAAAGCTAATGGATTTACCAAATACAAGAGTAGAGAAGGACACTTCATGCAGAAATGACAGCAGGAGCAAAGTGACAGAAGTTTGGATAAGCATGGAACATTCAAAAATATGAAGTAGGTCAGTGTGTAGAACATAGTTTTCATGGGGAGAGTTGAAAGATAAATTGGGAATAAAATCGGTGTCCTATATGAAGTCCTGACAAGTTTGGAATTCATTCTACAGGTAAGAGGGAGCAGGGAAGAGTCACAAGTAAAGAATGTTTTACAAAGATAATGATGGTGGTGATGTTTGTAAAGAACATCTATTAAGAATAATTTGGAATAGTTAAAGTAAAAGCAGAGACTAGCTAATATCAAAATATTTCATGGGACAAAGGAGGAGGGCCTATCATAAAACATAAACATTAATTCTAAAAACAAAAACAAAAACAGGGCTCCTGGGTGGCTCAGTCAGTTAAGTGTCTGCCTTCAGCTCAGGTCATGATCTCAGGGTCCTGGGATCAAACCCCACATCAGGCTTTCTGCTCAGCAGGGAGCCTGCTTTCTCCCACTCCCTCTGCCTGCTACTCCCCCTGCTTATGCTCTCTCTCTCTCTGTCTCTCTGTCATATAAATAAATAAATAAAATCTGTAAAATAAAATAAAAATAAATACATAAATTTTAAAAATACATAAATTTTTAAAAAATTTAAAAATACAATTATAAGAGAAAACTACACCCATTATATTGTAATGTAACTTTGACTATTTCTCCCTAAATATGTGGTTTTATATCTCTTTCTTTCAAGGAATCCTATTTATTTTTCAGCACTGTATGATTTTAGGAGTTATCTTGATCAGGTGACCATTACTCTTCTATAGTATGTCATAGCATTCTCTTCAGATAATAGTCATTTGCAATCTTGGATATTTTCTACTGTTCTTAGTCCTTCAGTTCTCTTAAAGTCAATGACGGTATTATGCACTTACTGGAAAGCCCATTCTACACCACTTGATTTTGCCCTGTTGCATCAGCACCCATTATATGCCAGTGCCCCAACTGAGCTAAGCATTACAGTTTAAACAGAGTGAATAAGAAGGTTGACTGGATCTTCCTATTTAATCAGAAATGAAAAGCTATTATTTTTGTGCCTCTCTGAAGGTATATACTATCTTCATTCCTAGAAGCAGACTTCAGAGCCAGTGCTCACTTAGAGCTCTCTGTAATCTTTAAATTTGGATGCAGGGGAAAATATTTTGACTATTAAGATCTCTCTTCCAAGATTTGGTTATAAGACCTTTATTCTGAGCTCAGCTCATGAGTATACACCAATGTTATGTATTTTGTCCTTTGTCTGGCCAAAATTTTTATTAACCAACCAGCCAGTGGAACATCATGTTGGGCAGAGAGAGCTAATATGAAATAGAAAAAGAACAAAAAAATTTGAGATATATTAAACAGACCAGAAACAGAGCCTGATATAAAATGTAAAAAGGAAAAATGCAAAATCTGGCACTTCAAAAGCACAAGTGCAAAACTGGAGGATGAAGGAAGATAAGAACCAGGATTCTTTACAAAATAACCAGGAGATTCTAGTAGATTTCAACTTCAATGTAAGCCAATAGTGCAAAGCAACCAATAAAGGGGAAAAATGCTACACTACTGAAAAGTGAGGAAAAGTACTGTGCCAATGGGGATATGTTGTGCTTCATTAATACAGAAACAGAAATCTGTGGTGTTAGAGTCACATCTGGAGTATCTATTCAACTTTAAAGCCACCGTTTAAGGGAAACATTGACAAACAAGAAAGTGCTTCCTCATCTTTCACGTTATACAATACTACAGTTACTGGCCCAAGAGAGAACCTTGGAAGTCACTCTTAAATTCTACCATCCCTCTCAATCCTCACATCTAATTAGTTAACAAGTTTGTTAATCCTGAGCACTGAACCCATTCTCTAAAGTAGTGGCTCCCAACTGGCGGGCAATTTACACCTGGGAGTCATTTGGGTGTGGGATGGCTGCTGGCATTTATTGGGTACACCCAGGGGTGCTGCTAAACATCCTACCATGTATAAAATTGCCTCCGCATTGAAAAATTAATCAGCCTAAGATGTCAATAGTGCTGAGGTTCAGAAAATGTGATATAGAGCTATAAGGATAAACAAGTTTCACAGTGTTCCTGGCTCCTTCGAACTTAATACCTAATGGGAAAGAATGATAAAAACACAATGTACTTTATTAGGAATACATTATTTCCTCACAAAAGAAGTTTAGAAGGTAGAGAGTCCAAGCACAACAACACTTACAAGGACTCGAGCTCTTTTTAACTTTTCCCCACTACCTTCAGTGTGGGGCCCTCCTCCTTTTGTTTATACTGTCAGGGCTGCTAAATGGCTGTTTCATTGGCAGACCTTATATCTATCCCACATAGAAGTTTTCTTTTTGTTCAGAAATGGATGCCACCCCAAAATTCTACATCTATCTCATTAGATGTTTGTTAGATAGAAAGAGAGTGTAGAGAATTGAAGGTCCTTTTTTAGTGTTTTGTTTTTCTTTGTTTGTTAGTTGGTTACTATCCTGAATAAAGTCAGAATTCTGGTAGTTAATCAGAATACCTAGTAGGGATAAGAGAGAATAAATTTGGGATTGTGGTAACTCAGAGTATTGCCACAACAAATAAACAAGGAAAAAAATCAAGATAATAATTAGAGCAGTATGAAAGAAACACACAGTGTGCTTTCCTTAAAAAAAAAAAAATTCAGTGGAAGCTATTTAATTCAGACAGGTGATTGAAAGATTAGCTGAGGAAGTGAAGTTAAACTGAACTAGGGTACAAGACCACCACTGGAAGAGTTAATCCAACAGGGCTAGGATAAAAGCCAAGTCCTCATTATCCACAGTAGAATGTTAAAACATGCTACATCTATTTTTTTAATATAAGAAATAGAATTTTAGGGGCGCCTGGCTGGCTCAGTGGGTTAAAGCCTCTACCTTCGGCTCAGGGTCCTGGGATTGAGCCCCGCATCAGGCTCTCTGCTCAGCAGGGAGCCTA